CTGTCATGTCTCCTCCTGGTAGTATTTCAAGGTCAGTCTCAAGGGCACAGGATTGTACAGTCTGTCCATAAAGTATAGGATTGAGTGGTTTACCAAACAATATGTTATCCTTAACAGTAGCATTCTGTATCCATGCCTGCTGTGGTACATAAGCTACACTGCCCTATCATGAGATGAGTAGTTATTGTACAAAGATGCTGTTCACTTACTTTCATTACAACTTGTCCATTTAGTTTATCCATTTCACCTAACAGAGCTGATATCAAAGAGGATTTACCAGCACCAACGGGTCCTACCACAGCAACAAGTTCTCCTCCTTTAACTGACAAATCAATACTAATATAAAATAAATAAATAAGTAAATAAATAAATAACTGCTAACTTGTGTAGTGCTGGTCTTTCTGGTGTGTCCCATGTAAATGATCCACCAGTCACTGATACAGACTCCTCATCACCTGATAATCACATGACAATAATACAACCACACAGACACAGACACACACACACACACACACATACCAACAGCTGGTTCATCTCTCCTGTTAGTATTATTAGGATCAAGCTCTTCACTTTTAAGGTAACTAGACATACGCTTAACAGACACACTAGCCTAAGAAACAGAGAGAAAGAAATAAAAAAGAAGACAGGACAGCTAAACTAGTGTTTTAAAGTTGTCTTTACTTGTACTATATTAGGTATGAGGGTCGGTAGGACTGTGAAAGGGAATCTCAGTATATTAAAAAGTGCCAGAGCAACAAAAGCTCTCTCAGCAGTCAGCTGCTGATCAGGATTATGTCTATTAACAATGGAGTATGTTATAAATGTCACAAAAGTGACCTACACAATGCAATAGTTATTATAATCAAATTATATTCAAAAGCTTAAAACTTGCAGTAAATGGAGCACAGAGCCATGTAAATGATATGCTGGCATTGAAGAAAAATGACTTCCTTAAGACTTTGATTTCTCTTTTTCGTATTCTCATTATCTCCCTAATGAAAGGGGCTTCCCATGCATACAATTTGATAATCTACAATAAAATCATTCTATACAACAAATTTAATAAAAAGGAGAGACCTTGATTCCATTGAAAACTTCATTCAGTAGTTTCATCCTCCTGTCTTTCCTAGCCATCAACATGGCTTGAAACCTGCGGCTAACGTTTGCAATACAAACGTTAATGGGTACTAAGATAATAATCACGCCAAGGCCAGCAAATATTGAAAAACCCATCGTCAGGTAAAGGAATATCAGCGCTAGTACAATCTGCATTGGACCGGACCAAATTATGTGCAAATTATTAACTAAATCCATAAATCTTTGAGCGTCCACCGACATGAGAGTAACAATCTCCCCCACTGTTTTAGTCTGCCTAGACTTATTACTCAAACGTAGTGCCTGCATGAGAGGAAAAAAGTAAAGAAATTTATAGCAACAGTTGATTATAAATAAAATGCAGTATTACTTTTCTATAAATGGCTGCAATTAGTCCTCCTCTAATTCTCATGCCAACAGTATAGCAGCGATGGAAGTACTGATGAAGAAGGATTGACCGTAATTCAACAACAAGGAATAAAGCAACAGCATACAAGTATCCCTTCCATGCTGGCTGGGATTCATCAGAGACATACTCAATGATAAGTCTTAATAGAAATTACATATACATGTACATGTACATGCAATAGTAAAACGATCACTTACTTTAATATTTGAGGGCTAACAAATGAGAGGAGATCCTGTCCTAATTTGAATATCCCAGCCACAAAGAAAGTGAACCCGTAAGCTTTAACAATAGCCATTACAAGTGAAGGGTTTTTCTTTCTCCTAACTCTAACTTCATCAGTATCTTCTGTTTGTCCAACAAAATCCAAACTATATAAATACACACATTAAGCCCATCAGTGTTTGTACTAGTATACTTATCTTACCCAGCATTGTGTACTTGCTTGTCCCATTCTCTCTGAAACTTTGGTGCAACCACTTCAGACTTGTCATGTCCATTAAGATCATACAAATCATCATAGGACAATGCTCCACGGAATCCTTTCCATATCAACCTACACATAACACATACAGTAATATCTTTTTGTTCTTACACAGGCTATAACTTTTAGGATAATATTTTTGCTGGGGAATTGGCTATTTTTGGCAACTACATTTATCGGTAAAGTGATTATGCGTAAATAGTAGGCTTTACTAACGACACAGTGTACTACTAATCAAAAATTGGCCAATCACAAAATTGAGTTTTGTGTACCAGGTGCCTTCATATCATGGACTCCCATCCACATATCATTATCATCAAAACGTAATATTATTGATACTTGCCATACCTATTTAGCCACCACCAGGTAATGAGAGAGAAGAAAGGTGCTGACTCTTCTGGACATGGCTTACGCTAGTAATAAAATAAGACTAATGATAAATGACTCCTTTCAGTTGTCGAATTTTCTAATTAAACCAAAGCAATATTGCTTTGATTCAAAGCAGTCTCATTAAATTATTTTATTCTCCTCTGCTCACTTCACTGTCTGAGAGTCTGTTATAAAAATCTTGCATCTTTTCTGGTATAAAGGACAGTATCATTTGAATTACTATTATTATATATTGGACTATAAAGAATGAGAAACCAACTCTATCAGTAGGTACACCATTCTATAGTAAGAGAGGTGATCCATTAGAGAATGAGATACATTGACATACATTATCTTCAGCTGTCAGTACTAATGTTCTCAGTTTAACTGATCCATAAGCAACTAAACATATCCACAGTATAATAAGAAGACCTGATGATCTCACTCCTCTCTTTCTATGAAAACCAACCAACACACCAACCCAAACCTATGCATGTATTATAATGAACAATAATACAGTGACACATTATCACTTACCATAGTAATTGATAGCAGTACTGGAGATATGAAGAGATAGTACGAGACTCTATCATCTCTTATTGTCTTTGCAGTGTAATACAATAGACTACATGATAATGGCAATCCTAACAGACAGCATAGTATCTACAATAAAAGTAACAGTTACAATAATTATAATAAAAATATTTTCTTTGACAACAAAACACCATAAAATCTGCTTCAAAACATACTATCTTTGATATATTGAGCCGGTTGAATGGTAGCTGAGGGATATTCTTGTCAGTAAATATGAAAGTGATGATTGCCAACAGCCAAAACGATACGCATATTCCAGTCAGTATTACAGTGTCTTGGAAACACAGTGTCAGATCAACACTGTCATGGTTACCATTGCCAATAGCTCTCTAAGGAGAATATGAGAATGACTGGAAGCCATAATGCACAAATCTTACCGAAAGATTTGACTCTGGATAGCAAAGGTTGTTCAAACACTCCATGCTATGCTATGGTCGGATGGGTGTGGTTTATCACTCCGCCTATGGGAGGAGCTAAAATTTATCTAGGTCACGCCCTCATTCATTAAAAGTAAAAATGGCGGCAAAGACCAAAAGCATACTTAGCGATGATTCTCCATCTCCGAAAAGATCAAAGCTTCATACCGAAGGAGAGGCCCACCAACAGCAACCAAAGCCTTTAGGGAAGATATCTGACTTCGTTGTTTCTCGTTTGGAAGATTTTTACAAGCCCAACCCACCTTTTCGCCTCCCAGTGGAAATTGGTTCTTTCTCTTTCGACAGAAAAGGAGATCTGACACTAGACAGGAGTGGACTGAAGTACTTGACACAGCCGGGGAAACTTGGTTTTGATTTGAAAGTTGGTTACGATTCGTTTCAGCCCAAGTTGAACCAAACTCCTGACCTAACTGTTATTTTAAACTGGATCTCTCACAACTGGAATTGTTTTCTTCCAAAAATGAAAGGACAGTCTTCGCTTGACGGTAAACCACCTGAAGATCTCAACGGATCTGCTCCGATTGTTCAGACGGCAAATCAATCTTCTGTAACCACAAGGTAATTAGAAAAATTTGATTAAAAAAAATTAATAATAATTGTGTTTAGTTTTCATTCACGACCTGATAATCTTTTAACCGACTTCATTTGTTGGCGTGGACTTATGACTAAACTACTCTGCACTCCATATAATAAGGTAATCAGCATAAAAATGTAATTATTTAATTATTGCAATGACTGCAATAATATAATTAAGCAATAATTACATGAAATTAGCATTATTAATTCCTTTTTTCAGTCCGAGCCCTGGAAGATGATTGCAACTCGTCATAACGATACCATATATCTCCGTGAACTTGAGACACCAGAAAAGGCTGAGAAAGAAGCAAACATGAGTTTGGCTGAGAAACAAATGTGCTACTGGGGATTGAAGTTTGAAGATTACATGACAAGAAAAGGTCTCGTCGTGAATATTTTATCATCCTTTCTACTTTATTTTGCCTCCTCCATCTTCCATTGTCCTCCTCTCTCTGTCTTTAGATCCCAAAGTTCCACCTCCTTCCCAACAGCAAGACAAATCAGGTACCATCAATCCACTGGAAGCTTTCTGCTGTGTAGTAAGGACTCGACTAAACACTCATTCACTAGTGATGGTTGGAGAAGTGGACTGCATTGACCCGGTTACTAATATTTAATTTATCATTAGTGAGTGATTATTATGATTATAGGCATCAAGAGAGAAAGTGCCTCAGAGCTATGTCGAACTGAAAACAAGTCGTGTTATTTATACGGACAGAAACAAGGCCAGTTTTAAAAGGTATCAAATGTATAAACACTTCATTATAACATGGTTTCTGTTGCAATATGTAGGCACAAATTAATGAAATGGTGGGCACAGTCCTTCCTCGTTGGTATCCCAAAGATAGTCTGTGGCTTTCGGGACAATGAGGGCATCGTCCAACACATACAACAATTCAAAACGGTGGACATACCCAGGGAATCACAGGTTAAAGAATTACAAGCTGTAATAGGCTGAATGGCTTGGATTTGACCATGCTGTTGTATTAGCGTTGCTTTTTCCTTTTTCTCTCAGAGTGATTTAAGTTTATGGCAAGGGAACGTTTGTCTTAATTTTCTTGACGAGCTCTTGAAGTGGATCAAAGAAACTGTCGTAAAAGATGATTCACAGTATGCAGGAATAATTATATCTTTTCAAACAGTCTCATATTCTTTTTGATTAGAACGCTCTATCTCATTGAATGGAATCATCCTTATACACACATCTCTGCAACTTGTAGGTCTACTACGCCAGACTTGTTTGTGCTACCAGACTGGTATATAAACAAACTCTCTCCTCCATTGGTTGATCCTTCCTCTCAGTCTCCATCCTCTGTCTCCTCTCCTATGTAATATTTTTTAAAAATAAGATAATTTTTACTTAAGAAGTAGGTGTGTTTGAAGCTACAGCAAAGGGGAGGGCCTTGAGTAATGGGGAATGAACAATCAAAGGAAAAGGAGAAACATGTTTTTTCGACACATGAGTTAGTATTTAACCAGTTAAATGAGGCTCCAGTCTATTGCTTCGATCAGAATGTGTCCAGTGAGGGTCTGGCTTTCTCTCATAGTAATTTAAAAGTAAGGTTTCCCTCAAGACAAGATCAGTTCCAAGTGGCCTATCTGAATGCATATCTTCAGCTTGGACACGTTGATCAGACTCTGTCAGTTAGAGCCAGACTGGAGGATAGTGTTGGTAGCATTGCTGTCATTGGGTTTGGTGAGTCAAATACTCGTTCACATTCTGACCTGTATCTTTTTGATGTGACTCAGCGAAAGGTTTACCTTTGTGGAGATGAGGTTCCAAATGTCCGTCTTCCAGTCTGTGGCGATGGAGACATTATTCAATTTCAAGTTGACATTGGACGAGGTCGTCTGAGCTATCAGATAATTAACAGTGCATCATCTAAACAAGAGTCGGCTACAGCTGGTGATAGATCATTAGTTACATTTAAATTTGATTCTGCTGACCTGCCTCACAGTGTTCGTCCATTATTTGGAATGCGTTCAACTAGTGTCACTGAGCCGTCATTCCATGTACTTGAAGTTTCTAGGGAACTAAGTCTTACCGACAAAGCTTTGTTTGATAAGGAATCAATCTATGGTCCAGTAACACTCTCAAATGATTGCTTAAACATCTCACGTCAAGATATTAAAAGCAACTGTTGCGCTTTAATAGACAAAGTGCTGAGGGAAGGAACTCACAGATGGAAAATTAGAATATTAAAAGATGTCGGGGCCTCTACCTGCCTTGGAATAGCAAAACATCCATTTTATGTCCCTAACATGTACGGGATGAGTTCACAGCATATGTATCTACACAGTCAGCTAATGGTGTGGCGGTCCTATGGTGGATCGCTCTACTCTTCTGGATCCAAGCTAAGTCACGAGTTGCGGCCACTTGACTATGATGATAAGCCAGTTACTGTTGAGTTCTTGTTGGATTTAACTGCTGGAACGCTTGAGATTATACGTGAAGGAGTATCCCTGGGGATCGCTTTCAAAGGAATAAAGCCACCAGTTCAACCAGTCGTTGTTTTTTATGCAGGCTGTGAGAAAGAAGTCCAGCTGGTCAGCTTTCATTCTAATGCGCCCTCAGGGAATAATGATGACCCAATATTGCTTAAACAATCAGGGAGTAAGAGGAGTAGTGATAGAGTAACGAAAAAGCATAAGAAGAGAATATCCTATGCATTTGATAGGAGTATGACTTATGGGAGCCTCCTGATCTCACCTGATGGAATGACAGTAGAGAGAAGACAGTCACACATTGGTAATGCATACTGCCTCATCAATCAAACCTGCAGTACTGGAGTATACAACTGGTCTTTTAAAATCAATGAAGATCAAGGTGCTAGTATATGCTTGGGTATAACAACAGAGCCAGTTGAGGTCACAAATGATGCAATATATGAGTCTAAAAGCATGTATCTGTATCGCTCATACATGGGTAAACTCTATTACAATGGGAGGGAGCTAAGGAAAGAATTTGAAGAGTTTTGGATGCCTGGCACTATAGTTGAGCTAATCTTGGACTTGGTAAATGGCGTCTTGCAGATTCTTGTGAATGGAATCAATCAAGGAGTATGTTTTGGTAATTTGGAAGCAAAGGCTTACAGACCAATTGTTTGTTTCTATGCGGCCATGCCCAAGTCCATAACTCTTTTAAAATTTGAACATTTTCCTTCAGAGCCCAAAGCTATGTTTGTACCAAATAATTTAAATCAAGGGATGCCCTTTCAAAGCAATGGTTTGAGTGAAGATATAGAAAAAGGAATTCAAAGGACAGACAGGTGTATGGTGTGTAGTGCTATCGATGGCAATGTTGTTATCTTACCGTGTAAGCATGCGGTATATTGTGCAGCTCATGCTGTAGTTGGAGAATATTGTATTGTATGCGAAAGACGTATAGAAAGCATAGTGAATGTTTTTTAGTAAAAATAATGTAATGTAATGTGCTATATTTATCTGAGATAATGATAATAACCAAAAGTTAATGAAAAGTTAATTGAATAATTAAATCAGCAACGTCACGTCACGTGATCTTAGCCCCACAGTAAAGATGGCATTTTTTGGTTTTGGTCCTTTCTCGACAGAAATAGGGTCACTGATCGGTAAGGAATCAATAGAGACTCCTTATATTGTATTTTAATTTTAGAGCAAGCGACAGACAACTCTGCTTCGGCCGGAAATATAGCCCTCCATCTTCAAATCTGTGACGCTATCAACTCTTTCGAGACAGGGTAGGCATTGTTGTTTTATTGTTGTGACTCTGATATCCGTACACAGTCCTAAAGATGCTGTGGCTGCCATTAGAAAGCGATTAACTGGAAGCATGAAGAACTTTCATATCATAAACCTAACCCTGACCGTAAGTATTTATGCAAAGCTCCTCCTCTTACTCCTCCCTCTTTTGCCAGGTACTGGAAACCTGTGTCAAGAACTGTGGTCCTATGTTTCATGGAAGAATAGCTACTAAAGAATTTCTAAAGGACCTTACGAATGTTATACAACCCAAAGTATTATTTTTGTCTTGTTTATATTTCCCTTTCTGTTTCCTTTTAAATGCTGTTTCACCTCCTTTCTTCATCCCTCCCCCTCTCTCTCTCTTTTGATAGAATAATCCTCCTACCATAGTACGAGAGCGTATATTAGGACTAATACAGTATTGGGCAGATGCCTTTAAAGCTAATCCAGAGCTAGCAGCTGTCAATGAAGTGTATCAACAATTGAAAAACGATGGTGTTGAATTCCCACCTCTGGACTTGGACACGTTTGCTCCAATCAGCACGCCTTTTAGGGTAAAGAAACCACACCCATCAACAACCACACCCACTCAATTAGTGCACATGATAACGATGTTTATAAACCAAATAAACATTACTTAATATTTACTATATTTTATGTTTATGTGTTTGTAAAAGCATCACCATGTGTAGCTCTTTATTAGTAACTACATTTTATACTTTATTGTCTGCTTTTATAGCCAGAAGGTGGTTCACAGCAAGTGCAAGAGGTTTGATAAAATGATTTTTTTTGATAAAATCATCTTCCATTTTACTCTCTTTTTAGAGACCGTCTCAACAGCAACCATCATCGTCTCATCAGGTTGTGGGTGGGGCCAGTCCTAGAGGGGGCGGGAGACCTATTAGAAGTCTTAAACCCGAACAAATTGCAAAATTATTGTCAGAACTTGATGTAGTGAGAAGGTAAGAGAAAGACTATTCTGTTTTACATGTACATTTGACCTCTCTCTCTCTCTCTTTCTCTCTCTTCCTTTTTTTTATCTCTTCTATTGATAGAAATCTTGATGTAATGAATGAGATATTGGTAGAGAATGAGCCAGGCAAAGAGTCAGAAGATGATTATAGTTTGATGCAAGAGCTAAACACTACAATGAGATCAATGCAGGAAAGAGTGACAATACTAATAGGAAGGGTGCAAGATGAGATAGTGATGGGTGAGGTTTTGTTGTTGTTTATTGTTATTGTATTGTTGTTTATTGTTATCGTGTTGTTTTTTTAGAGAGTTTGCTACAGATTAATGATGAGCTGAATGGTTGTTTCACACGGTACGACCGTCACATGAAGAATAGGAAGGCAGCGGCTGCTAATGTAAGCGGAAACGAAACGAGTTTCACTGATCCAGTGATTGACTTGCCTCCTCCAATGGTAAGGGAGTATTATATATGTACTATACTACTGTATATTCATAATTATTAATGTACTGATATTCTCTACTCTAGGATTCTACTGCTCCTTCAATTAGCTACCCTTCATTAGATGATGAACCTCCTCCCCAGTATGAGAAGGAAGATTCGTCAAGAGGAGGTGGTGATGAAGCTGTTGGTCAACTCATTGATCTGGGGATTGATTTGAGTGCTCCTCCTCCTCCTCCCTCTACTGCTGGTGGTGGTAATGATATAGTACAACAATTGGCACAAATAGGTAAATCCATTGACACTTTGTGTGAACACTCTTTAGTGCTGTATATCCAGAGCTATTGGTAGGAGTTATACTTGCATTTCTTGCAGTGTTTTTAACACTTACCCTTATAGTACAGGGTATTTTGTCAAAAATGGCTAGGAAAGAATTCTTCGTTTTTATAATTTTTTTCTGATGCATATACACGTTCTTATGTTGTGTAGAAAGTTTGAGTTGATTATGATCAAAATTGAATTTTTAAATAGGTATAACTTCTGATCCTGCACCCTCGATGGGTGGAGTAGGGGGAGGTACTTCTAGTAATCTTCTCTCCTCGGGCCAAAACGATTTTGACATGTTTGCACACAGTCGACTGGCATACAGTAACACTAGTGAGGGATCCACATATGAAGATAATAGACAGGAGCAAGGGACATCTTTAACTTCTGCACTTCTACGTCAGCCACAACCTGAACCAATACCTGCTAATCAGTAAGGAGAAAGAGAGAGAGAGAGAAGGAGACCTCTTTATTCTGGGGAGGAGCAATACTACCTCTCCTTGTGGGTGTCCTTAATATTATAAAGGCATACTGTGTCTTCTTTTAAATTCTCCATAGATATGAAAATCTATCAGAATGGGTAGGAGCTACAAGTAATGACACACAGCAGTCAACCCAACAAGATCAAGCAACCAGTGCTGGTAATAATAATCACAATATGATCACATTATGATCCTATTTATTCTTTTTTAATGTATAGAGTTTGATCAGTTTTTAGCTGACAGGGCAGGTAAGGGCAGTAAGCACAGACCACAGATGCAGAAACACGAAGAACTAAATGACGAATTGTTCCAGCTGTAAAATAAAATTAAATATTAATGATTATATTGGACTCTACATATTTTAGTTAGCTTCAGCGTTTGCCGCCTTTAATTTGTCTCTCTTTCCTTTTCCCCTCTCTTCCTCTCAATGTGTGAACTATTTCATTATCTGTTGTTTATAGTTATTAATGTTGTTGCTCTTTGTTTTCTTAAAATCAATAACTATATCACACACAAAATTTCTTATAAACACTAATAACTATTAATAATTGTTGCTATTGTTATCATTATTGTTTGTTTCACACAATTTTACATTAAAAAAAAACAATCAAATTTTAGCAGACGTTGAACACACGATAAGGAATGCTTCAAAAGATGAGAGAGAGAGAGAGGAGCTTTTTATTGCGGCCATTTTGATGCAGCAGCACACTTTGGATCAATAGTGAATTCCTACATACAATGAATGACAATGACATCATGTGACTATCACGTGACAGTCATACTTTGATTTCCTTTTCATCTACTATCACACAATTGCCTTCATGCCAATTCTTCTTACAAACACAACAGTAAGCTTGCTAAAGGAAGGAAGCAAGAGAGAATACATTAGAATACAATGCACGTATATGAATGTATATATGTTTTGCATATGCATAATGTATCTATGTACATATAAGGTATGTTTAAGTATTACGTACTTGACATTTAAAGCACGAGACTTTCTTCCTCATCTGAGGAGGAGGGGGAGGAGGAGGAGGCCCTTGAAACAACTTTTTAAAGAGCATCCAAGCACCTTAAGAAGGAGAGACACAAGTACATCATAACCTTTAGCTATCCATTACTTACTTCCAGTAACAACAGGAGCAGGAGTAGATGCAGAGGCTGGTTGGGTTACTTCTGTGTCCGTCCCTCGTGACACATCAACTTCAAACTTGCAATTGCTATTAGTGCAAATAATATTGTCACCAGGGGGGGCCCACTGTTCAAAGGCCAAGTCACTAAATGCATTGTACTAGAGTGGAGGGAGGAAGATGAGTCAAAGAGAAGGGTCACTCTAACTTACGAACGATTTTCCGTCAGTAGTTTTCTCGACAATACGGAAATGATGAGGATCAGAAATAGGAGTATCAAGACAATCAGCATCTATTAAGTCACAATAATAAGTGTTGATTATGTACTTGTATAAAAATATATCTATCGCTACCTGTTCCTGGGCAATGTATAGAGAAGCCTGCCTGCCCAAAATTTTTGAATTTGTTCCTGTCCAGCATGATGGTGCAGTAGTAATGGAAGCAGTTGAAGCAAATTGTGTGCTTGCTATTGCACGAGAACAGGAATACAACCATACTGTATACAGAGACACACAGAAAGGAAACTAGTTATTCTATTGCTCTATGTCTGCTGGTTCACTTACTCTTTTTTCTCACATTTCATGCAGGGTAATTGATGAATGTTAGTTCGTAATTGCCTTAGAAAAGGTGCTTGATTATCACCAGGACAAGCTTTACACACATACGTTATAACAGGCTAAATTAAGAGAAGCAGTCATGATTAGAAGAAAAAGAGAGAGAGGGATTACATGTCCTTTTCCTTTACAAGAAGGATTCGCACAAGTTCCTTCTGCCTTTAAAACACTCTCATCATCAAAATAGTCAATGTCACCTTCAAGAATAAAGGTTTCCTAATGTGACAGAGCAAGAAGTTCAAGTTAGATTCCATCATATTTTACCTGGTTACACCCGGCACATCTAAAAATTGGTTTTACTTCACAAGTAGAGCCACAACTCTTACAGTAACCATACTTATTATCTAGAGTGTATGTAAAAGAATTTCACAATAACTATTTGATGCATTAAAGATTTACCTTCTACAGCATTGTTTGCCCCTTTAAGATCAAGCTGGATCTGCGATGCAGTCTTTATCTGAAGCTCAGTTGCTGGTTGAAGAAAAAACACCGTAGCCGACTTTGATATAAAGACAGCCTAAAAAAGAATAAAGTAAAAAGTACTAGTTCCTTTTCTTTGTTTAATTTCATGTTTATTTGCTCTATAAAAGGGAGCTTTTTAAGTATTAAAGATGGCTTTTGCTGGAAGGCAATTTTTTTAACAACTTGTTCATGCTTCATGAGGTGTAAATTAAGGTGTAAACAAGTAGCTTGTAATTAATATTTGAGAGAGAAAGAGAGACAAACTTACTTCAGCTGTAGCATCTCCAGGAAGTGGCTTCCCTTCGTGTAACAGCAAGAAATGTCTGCCTTGTGGCTCTTCATTCAGCTCTTTTAGCGCTTTGGCTATTATAGCGTTTAGTTTAGTCTTCTTATCAACGTGCAAGGTTGCCCTCTGCTTCCCAAACTGTATGTTAATGCCTATCGGGCCACTGGCAGTCGCCATCTTTGCGAAAAAGCATCAGCAGGAGAGAAAAGGGCACAAAAACATGCACGGCAATTATGGCCGATCAGTCCCCACCCATACATTTATGAATATTAACTACTTTTAACAATAACCCTATCTTTATTAAAAATAGTATAATAATTAGATCTACTGTTGATTTTATTGCTATGTATTAAATTTTTTAAATACAATAGATGGTTCGTGTGGTTCTGGAATTATGTTGATAAGGCGTCTATATGGCCTCATTTTCCCTCTCCAGGCTCTGATCTTCCCTGGATTGAATGGCTCCCTAGTAAACTGCACTACTCCTTTCTCTAGAGCAAAGAGAGTGTGATCCCGGCCTAATCCAACCTACATGAACATGCACATGTACAAGAAAATGGAATATTTTTGTTCATAAGATAAACCAAGAGACCATTACATTAATTGATAATCCCTTACATTGCTTCCTGGATGATACGGTGTCCCTCTTTGCTTCACCAATATGCAACCTGGATAAACCTTTTGACCTGCATCGCCCCACACAATCATTAGAATCATTAATATTGATATTAATTTTTCATAATTAATTTAGATCAAGATATATATGATTATACATATACCATTTCCACATTTGAGTCCCAGTCTTCTTCCAATTGTGTTATTCTTCTTATTGCCAGAGCTACCAGATCCTTTTTTGCTGGCCCATCTGACGCTAGAAAGAGGCAGTAGAGATGAGAGACCACCAAAAGGCACAAAATATGACCGACAACCAGCAAGTAAAGCAGCCATTTTGAGACACCACGTGGGTGGGCGTGGTTTATTTGAATAATTTCGTTGCTATGGTGACAGTGACCACCTAACACCTAGTACCTTTGCAATACTTAGCTTTTATACACAATTATGGAGGAAGGAGAAGAAGGTGTGGATTATACAGCAAGGAGAGCAGAGTCTGTTGATTCTGATGCAGTTTCTGGACTCATTGGGAGAGAAACTGAGGAGCTGTTTGGCCGTCTTGATGCAAATGCAGTCATGTATGTAAATAAAAAAAATACTTTATGATATTTATATATATAACTGATTGACATTAATATTGATGTCTTATTCTGTCAAAAAAGTTTGGACTAATTCTGATAATAAAATTTAATAAACTATTACATTTACATGTACTTCATATTTTCCATGTCAGAGAGAAGGCTAACTTAGCTATATCACTGGTGAACAAGACAGAGAAACTCCTTGCTTTTGCTGCTTTTTATGATCATCCCTCACTTACCAATGTAAAGCAATCTGAATGGGAGGAATGGCTACACTCAACATACAGCATACCTCAAGCTAATGTATGATTAGTCCTACCATTATGCACTGAATGAAATAAATGAATGTCTCTTCTTTTATAGCCTATGAATTCTCTCTTTTTGAAACTTTTTGTCGCACAAGGTGGCTACACACAAGGTGCACTTGCAGAACTACTGAAGTAAATTAAATATTAATGATTGATCTTAATCATGCACCCACTCTCTTTATGTAGGACAGTATTTGTTGCTGTTCCACTATTGCAGTATGTTTTCATATGCCCTACATCAAATACAGGTTGAAATAATCATTACTAGATTTGTACTGTAACTTTTTTCTAAACAAAGACTCCAAGCTACTCCTCCAGTTTACTCCATTGCAAACCCTAAAGGAGGAGAAGAAGGAGAAGGAAGAAGACAGGGAAGAAGAGAGAGAACCTGGTGTATATGTTACTCAAAGATACAAGCATTACCCAATGCTGCACATTAGGCCAGCTCAAGTTGAGGACAATGATGATCTCCTGCCAATAATACATCAATACTCACCTCAGCATTTGACTGAGATATATGGTATGATCCATAATGCCTTGCTAGCTTTTATATGATTTTACAATTATTGCTTTAATATCTCCCTCTCTTTTGTCTTGACAATTCTGTTCTATTTTGCAGGCGATTACTTTATTGCTGAATTAGTTGAATCTCAGGATAGTGATCACAAAACAATAGTTGCTGAAGTAAATGCTTATACATTAATGACAAATTTACAACTACAGTAACTGTTATGCAGAACATAAATACATTTATATGTATCAGAAAATGTGATAAAAATTTGGGGTGATTTCAGAGCCATTTTTTGGAAAAAACCATGGGCTATAGCCTTGGATATTTTTCAGATTTTTGACGTTTTCTTAAATTGAATTCGGAATCAGCTCAAACTTGCTGCACAGTATAAAGACATTAATATGTATCAGAAAATGTAATAAAAATTTGGGGTGATTTTGGAGCAAATTTTTGGAAAAACCATGGGCTATAGCCTTGGGTATTTTTCAGATTTTGGCATTTTTTAAAAAATGGCCGTAACTTGAAAAATTGAAGTCAGAATCAGCTCAAACTTTCTACACAGCATAAGGGCATCAATATGCATCAGAAAATGTAATAGAAATTTGGGGCAATTCCGGAGCCAATTTTTGGAAAAAACCATGGGCTATAGCCTTGGGTCTTTTTCAGATTTTTGGCATTTTTAAAAAATGGCTGTAACTTGAAAAATTGAAGTCGGAACCAGCTCAAACTTTCTACACAGCATAAGGGCATCAATATTTATCAGAAAATGTAATAAAAATTTGGGGCAATTCCGGAGCCAATTTTTGGAAAAAACCATGGGCTATAGCCTTGGGTCTTTTTCAGATTTTTGGCATTTTTAAAAAATGGCTGTAACTTGAAAAATTGAAGTCGGAACCAGCTCAAACTTTCTACACAGCATAAGGGCATCAATATTTATCAGAAAATGTAATAAAAATTTGGGGCAATTCCGGAGCCAATTTTTGGAAAAAACCATGGGCTATAGCCTTGGGTCTTTTTCAGATTTTTGGCATTTTTAAAAAATGGCTGTAACTTGAAAAATTGAAGTCGGAACCAGCTCAAACTTTCTACACAGCATAAGGGCATCAATATGTATCAGAAAATGTAATAAAAATTTGGGATGATTCCGGAGCCATTTTTTGAAAAAAACCGTGGGCTATAGCCTTGGGTAATTTTCCAAAATTGGCTAATTTTTAAAATGACCATTATTAAAGAATCAAATTCAGAATTACATGTACATGTAGCTCGGACAATCTCTACATTTAAATACATGTTATTATTATAATCCTCTCAATAGGTTGATGGTAGAGCTGTTGGATTCATCAGTGTCAGTACTGATGTTAATCTATCCCTTTTATGGGATCATTATCAACTGGAATCATTCCATGGACTGAGGAAACCTTCACCTGATGATGTCATCACAACAATAAATACACTAGGTAGAGCATAACTGTGATGCAAGCCCTCACCTCTTTATTACATCAACATGTACATGTACATGTTGATGTACATGTACATGTACATAATACATGTACATGTATTTTATTCTCTTTCTTTCTTATAGAGAGCCACAAGACATCAAGCAGTTCAATGCCCAGTAGCAAAACACCAACTACTACAGTACCGACTGAAAAAACGTACACACCACCACTGAATATCATTCCATGCATTACATGTATTTTCATTATTATTTTTTAGCTCAATGGTTAGTATTGGTGATGCTAAAAGTCCAACTCCAGCTAGCACAACAGGAACTACTGATGATAAAACAGATGGAACTGGTCACTGTAGGTAAGTACACTATTGAAAATGATATTAATTTATTTCTAATGTATAAAGTCTTGCTTCAGAAGCTGGATCTGTTATTGGTGCAACAAGAGAAGGACCTACTGAAGTATAATATTAATTATATACAGACTCATGAATTAAACTCCTTTCCTTTTCAGCAGTGTAAAGAGTACTATCTTTGTGGCCCTAGCAATACAGTATCAGTTCAATTATTCAGTATTAATGAGCTGTATGAAATGAGGTACATAATTATTATTTTCTTGACTATATTCATTATTAATTATTGTACAGATCCATTGATCTCTTACCTGCCGTATTTCAAGCATTTCCGGTAACTTAGATTAATAATTACATGTACTTATACATGTATCTCTCTCTTCTCTCCAGGACGTTGATTTCCTCTTGTTAACGCTCCCCTCTCATTTTCAGCACTTTCCTCTCCTCTCACACTTCACTGTATGCACACACAGAGTCTACATGTACTAACTGATTTGTTTCTTTTATAGCGTATAAGTCAAAGAGAAGGCAGCACTTTAAACCAAGAGTTATACATCTTACACAAATGCTCCCTATTACAGTAATAATAATAATAATAGTAATAATAATAATAATAATAATAATAATAATAATAATAATAATAATAATAATAATAATAATAATAATAATAATGCAATCAGTACATGCTGTTAAGTTGCTTCTAAATTTGGCCAAACACCATGGGCTATAGCCTATAGTATTTCATCAAAAATGACTCAGAGAGAGTTCTTATTACATTTTATAATCCATAATTGTTTGCATTAATTTTTGGTTCCTTCTCTCTCAGTTCTCTTCAAGTGAGGTCCCTCCAACCAGAGGACATGACTGGGATTGAGTCATTGATAGTATCACTAGCATCAGAAAAGAATGTACTACAGGACATCAGACACTTCATAACTGGGGAGAGGGACCCAATCGAGAAAGTAATAATAATTATAATAATAATAGCATCTTAATTATTGTTTTTATTTTCCCATAGAATGGTACACCCATACATGGCTATGTGGTTGAAATGCTTGAGCAAATTGTTGGAGTTGTTATATTAAGACAAGAAAAAGTGAGATACATAAACTATTCTATCCATAATTTTAATCCATAATTATTAGGATATCACATACTTAAGATCCCATTACAATATCGACGATTACATTTATTTCAGTCAGCACACGCCTAAAGAACACTTGCATCTTCACCATTTCTTATTGAATCCAATATTTGCTCCTCATGTTAAACACATACTCCAGGTAAGAGAAGAGAAAGAAAGGAAGAAAAGCAAACTGGAAAAGATCATCATTATGTACATGAACATTATAGGAATGCCTAAGACTATCAAACAGCAGTAATATCTATTACCCACTACCAGTTACTGCACCTCATTCTCTCACTCACTCACTAACACTGGCCCTTCAAGAAATGGTGCCAGTTAGATACAGGAGACAGGTTGAGTATCCTAAAGGGCTGGGATCTAATGCTCCTATTAGTGACATAGTACAAAAGGAGGAGAATCCTTTTGCTCTGTATCACACTAACAGAAAACTAAGTCTTGAGCCTAAGGTATTATTACTACCAGTATTCTGAAATAATACAGTATTTGTTATTGTTTTAGATACCAGTTAATACCAGGGTTGTATTCATTGGTGCATCTGATACTATACTGTCTTGTTTACAGGCAATGATATTCAGGTGAGGGAGAGCAAATATATTCTATAAAATGATGCTTTTAAAAATCTACATGTGTATATATAGTCCTCATTTAAAGTTTAATAATTTAATACTTGTATCAACTCACGGGATGTCTAAGAGCAATGGTGTACTTTCTGACAGGTAACATATCAGTCTAATAAAGCACATTAATTACTGTCAATGCCATGCACACAATGTGTAGCTGTTGCTTCCTTGATGACACTTTCAGTAGACTAGGACTGGAGACGTGGATTACAATAGTACCTGGGACATTACTTGAAATAGACAGACAGAGACAAACGATAAGAATAGGACTGTCTAACGGGGAGAGAGAAGAGAGTCTGATCCATTACGACTATCTTGTACTAGGAACTGGTACACAGTACTGCATTGAAGAGCCTCAAGTAATGGAAATAATTCTTATAAATTCATGTACGTGTAAAACTATGCATGTACATTTATGTAGGAGGGTAATGGTAATCATGAGGACATTGAAGGTATCATAACATTACAAGGGAATGATAATGACGAAGAAATAATGAAGAGGGTCAGAGATGATATAGGAACTGAAGGTTTGATGTACATGTACTACGCACAATACACGTACATGTAAATTGGCTATATATGACATACTGTACCTTTCTCTTTACACTAAAGGTTCGGCAGTGATATATGGCTATACAGTAGATGCACTATGTGTAATGAGGCATCTTATCAATGAGCTCCAGATACCAGGGAATAGAATAAAGTGGGTACAACCCAATCCTCCTCCTCCTCCTCCTCCTTTACTCAAAAACCAAACCGTGAGAGGAAAACTGAGCAATATAGTGCAAGCATTAGGTAAAGTAATGTTGAAAGTTGTTTATTGATTATTCTTTTGTTGTTGTTGTTTATTGTTGTTGTTTATAGGAGTCACCGTATATGAGGGTCCCTATAGTTTGGTGAGGTGCAATAGCAACGGAACTCAACTGACATCAATTGATGTAATCAATGAGGACTATGATGAGATTTTGAATATACCATGCAAGGTGCATTACTGCATTTATTAAAATTTATTTATTTTATTTGTTTGTTGTTTGTTTGTTTAGGTTATGTTTTGCATTGAAAACCAACAAGTTAACCTGGAAGCATTTCATGGTACAATAAAAATAATATACAATACAATATAGTCTTCTCTCTCTCTTCCCATTAGCTATTAACAATGCATGTGTAGTGTATGATGATAGACTAGTAATTGGTACAGCTAATAACACTAATGATAAGAAGATACTAGGAGCAGGACCCCTCACTAAATATTCACGTCTGTACAGGACCCAGTGGTAAATTTTTGAAAAAAAAGCATGGACTACAATAGCTCATGTTTTTTCTAAAAATCACATTTAGCTCTGTAATAATCCAAAATTTTTTTCTGATACATTTTTAAGGTCTCACAAGTTATACAATTCAAAAGAAGTAGGGGAGGAGCTAGCAAAAAACTTATTGGCAAAGCTAGACCCAATTCAATCTCCTGGAGACCAATCGGAGGAGGACACACCCACTCTACTGACCCCTGTCTTCAATAAACCTAAAGAGGTCTATGCTCTGTTGCCAGGTACGAAATCATTGACAAGCAAAAAAAAACATTTCTTCGATTGTCACGAAATCCGTGACAAGCAAAAAAAACATTTCTTCCATTGTCACGAAATTCGTGACAAGCAAAAAATCCATTTCTTCCATTGTCACGAAATCCGTGACAAGCAAAAAAACCATTTCTTCCATTGTCACGAAATCCGTGACAAGCAAAACACCATTTCTCTCTAGATAATTATCATTACCTATTCATTGATAAGCCAAGACTTCCAACTGACTTTATGACTACTTCATTATCAGAAAAGGTAACAGAATGCTTTATATTCCACTATACTCTTGTTATTATGGATTATGTTAGGGTCAGTATATATATACAGACACAGCGAATGGATACTTTGAATTATACATAAATGAATATCATAGAATTGGAACAATCACTGTCCTTAGCAAACAAGTAAGAGCTGCTAGTGAAAGAGATCCATTAACAAGGTTTGCTCTTTTTTCGTCGCAGCCTTTCGAAGTGTCAAATTATCGCTGTCTCTACAATCAACATGAGCAATATTTAAACAATCTGATGGCAAGATGGAAAAATAAACTCATTGATGACCTATTCTTGTAAGCTGATGTTAAAAATGATCATTAGTGCATGCATTGTGTGTGTGAATCTGTAGATATTTCAGAGAGCAATGGGTTTGTGCAATATTTCATGACAGATTTATTGATTTCCTTCAAGAAGTCACTGATATTGTATCACTGGTAAGAGTGTTATTATCCATTACAATAAAACATGTCCTCCCTCTCTCTCCAGGGTGAAGGATCATTTAAAGAGAAAGTTAAGGAAATCATTGATGATAACTCAGCTGTAAGAAAAGAGAGGAGAGAGATATGACTTTATTAATGACATAATTATTATTACCCACAGGTCTCTCTGGAAAATATTGAAGATAAACTAACAGCTGCTTTTGCTGGCTTTGATTTGAATCCTTCCCTCCAAAAAAGACTCCATCATTACTTATACTACAATTACAACCATCTACCAATGTTCGCACAACAAGACATGATGTAGTTACATATTAAAAAACATTACACACATTTACTATAATGAACATTACTAGTGAAGATTATTGTTAATTTCGATTAAGAGCAATAGAGTGTAAAATCAGGTATATTGTTATATCCACTGACGGTTGGTGAAGATCCTTTGCTACCTGGAGCAGATGCAGTAGCATTGTTTTGTAGTGTGGCTGTTGCAGCTGCCTCTGTTCTTTCCCTAATGTGCTTTATTTGATGGAGTCTGCCTAACCAGTTTGATGGGTAGTGGTCAGTAGTTGATTCACTTAGTAAGACTAGGGATGCTAACTATACATAGAAGAGGAAGAAAATGGAGCAGAAGAGAAAGGAACATTATTTTAATTAAAGCATGAGGTGTTTTATTATCACACACGTTGGCCAGTAATGCTTTCTGTCTCACTAAAACTGGTAGCCATTTATCTGAGACCAAAGAGGGCGAGCAATCAACAAAGCTCTCCAGCCCGTTCTTAACTAATAGATAAACCTTATTCATAGAGCAAGGCAATGGCTGTATAATAACTTCAGCATAATTAAACTGACCCTATTAAAATAACAATAAAAATAATGACTATTATTATAATCATAATAATTATTATTACCTTAATTAAACCAAATTCCAGCGAGTTTTTTGACTCATTATAAATGATGGTGACAAAGTCATTGCCGATATGTAGCTTCTTATTACTGCAACTAGCATTGCTTGGGAGGGTAGGGAGCAATGTAGCAACATGAAATATAACTATTGTCACATGATAATCACATGATCTGTTGATAATTACCAGCTGACCTTGAGTAATGTCATCCTCCCAAAAACAAGCATACTCCCCATCAATCCCACTAGTGTCCAGACCCCCTAGATAAATCAAACTAGGGGGGCATTCTTTAAGATTGATCATGCGTCCCAGACCCCTTAGGAACATCAAATAGCGGAGGGACCCAGAAGTATTGCACAATATCTCTTGCTCTGTTGTCTAATTGGACAGAGGATCAAATCTCACAACAATCCCCCACACTAATAACTGACCTGTTCTTTCCCGACATAAACCACACCTATCTTATGAGTATTATAAGGTGGAATGTGATCAAGAACCTTGAGGGCTCTCTCTATGCTTTCGGTAGCAGGAAGCAAAAGAGGTGTGTCTTTGGGCGGGGCAGGTTGGGAGAGTCCCAAAGATGAGGAGTGATAGAGTTGTAAGAATATAAAGGAAGGATTATTGAATACGTCAGCAGACATGTCTTCTCTCGTCCTCCCTGACGTGGGAGGAGTTTGAGAGAACATGACTCGTCTGTGTGTCCGTGGGACTGAGGAAAGAGGGGTGTGGTCATTGTCCTTTGGGCTCGAGGAGGGTAAACCTTTGGAAGGGGAGGAGTGGGTTGAGAGGACAGCCTCTTCTGTTTGAATGTCCGCATTTTTAAAAACGTCTTCATTATGATGAGTCTCCTCTTTGATGTTACTTGACATTAACAAAGGAGCCTCTGGATCTTCTTCTTCTCCTCCTCTCTCTTCTCGACTGTTGCTCTCAATGCTGCTGCTGTTACTAGTGCTGCTACCAGAACTACAGGTATATACATCTAAAGAGAAAGACAGTGTGAGAAAGATAAAATACAAACGTCTTCTTACCTTCATGGGATGGTTGGCTAAGAGAAGAAGCTGCAATCAATTCAAGCTACAAGTATAAAAATAACAATAAATGAATAAATAAATAAACAATGTTTCACCTGTTCAGGATCAGAGAGTGGATTGCTAACAAGTGAAGGAGAGAGTCCCAATAAATGTCCTTCATCATAAGAGAATAGAGGAGGTAGAGACTCCATTGGAACACTCAAACTGTAAGATCTACTACCAGAAACTAATGGAGTTTCGGTCGCACCACTCTCACTCCAGGAGTAAGAGGAGGGCTGACGCAGTGTGATCCCTGATTCAGTTTTAACATCATGAGACTGATCTTGTGATTCAGCATTAGTATCAGTGTTGGTACCATGTGCCTGGCAATTACGTGATCGAGTGTTAGCATCATCATCATCATCAACGTTAGATATAGTTATTATTGATTGATCATGTGACTCATTGCCACTCCCTCCATCATCAACCAACTGGTGATCACCTGATTGATCATGTGACTGATCACCACCCTGATCATCTGATTGATCATGTGACTGATCACCACGATGATCACCTGATTGATCATGTGACTGATCACCTGATTGATCATGTGACTGATCACCACGCTGATCACCTGATTGATCATGTGACTGATCACCACACTGATCATGTGATTGATCACTTGACTCATCATGTGGTTGGTTGATTGTAGAATGAAAAGGTTCTTGTATTATTACCTCTTCTCCCTCCTCCTCTTCCTCATTATCAATAGTTAGTATACCCCACTCGCTTTCCTCTCCCTCCTCCTCTTCCTCCTCTAATATAACATCTTTATTTAATCCTAAAAGCGACCAATCATATTCAGTAGCTGAAGGCTGAGGCGTGGCCAATATATCCATTTTATTTTGTATTCTCATTAGCCACGAGACATTTCCTGTTGGACGTCGGATCTTAATCTCCGCCCACCCTCTGCACCAACAGGAGCATAAAGTGGTAGGAGGTGCTGCCTCTTCTAATGACGGATCATGTGACAGAGAGGGGGCTGGGTCGTATGACTCATTACTGGCCAATAGGATGTCAGGGTCTGGTTTTAATGATCGTCTTATAGTCTGACACCTCTGACAGACTCCTGGCGCTCCTCCTCCACTTCCGCTTGCCGTTATGGTAACCAGAGCATTGCCTAGCAACCAGGTTTTACTAGGACCAAGTCCAACTAAAAAATCAGCAGCAGGAGATCTGAGAGAGAGAGAGAGAGAATTATAAAAACAGCAAGTGATTTCAATAATATGTGGAGTCAAATTTTGCTTAAATGTTTCTAAAATATCAAATTTACATCCTACAACAGGATGCATTGATAATATTCACCTAAAAGGTTGCGTTGATATGTTTGAGTACGAATAACGAGACATCATGTCAACGCACACATCAACCATATCAATCAACTGAGAATTGACCACACCCACTTCTCCACCCCTCTGACCACCACCACCGACCGAAGATGAAGACAAATTCTGTAAAAAAATTAATAAAAATAGGTGTGGCTTGAAAGGATACTGACGTGAGACGTAATGAGAGTAAAACTGAGGGAACGCTTCCTACTGGTTGAGTCAGTGCCGATATTGGCAGGAGGTGAGGTATTGGGATAATTAAATAATAACGGATCCTTACTGACTGACAATAAGTAAGATAAAGACTGGATGAAAAGAGACATAAAGAAATACATTATCAGTGTGACATTATCAGATTAAGAATACATTACTTTATTAATAAATTTAGCTACAGCTGGTCTGTACTGTATACGGCACCTTATGAACCACATGGAGACAACGTGATGAGCTAGTGCAGTGACATACCCATTATATCTGTAATGGAGGGAGAGAGGAAGAGGTAAAAATAAAGAGGAGAGTGAAGGAATGACAGGTGCATAATAAGTTACTTTGAAGGGTCAGTATAAGGTATGGCGATACCAAACACTCCTAGGTACTGTTTCTCAACGAAGCCTCCAAACAAAACCGGAAAACCAATAATACTCATTAGTAACTCAAGAACTGGTATTGCCATTGTGGGCGTGGCTGAAACTTGACCTATCCTATGAAGTACCTTAGGCAATAACCTAGAGTATATAGAAATATACTAATAATATGTGGAGTAATATACTAGAATGTACACCTTGTCATAGTTGGTTGCATCTCAAGTGTAGCAATAGTCAATGCTCTAATGCAGAGTAGAGATGAGGAACTGACCACACCCTTTTCCAAACAACATATTAAAGAATTCTATGAGTAGAAAAAAAAGATCAAAAAATCCCAGCAAATTTTGGCAAAATAACCACACCCAAGACCACACCTACCTGTGCCATCCTATCAAGATGCGATCCGTAAGTACATAAAGAGGACAGGACTGGGTAAAGGTATCCTATTAGCTCTTCCTCTGCTGGGTGCCTCGTTGGAACGTTCTTTAATCTTTCCTGTACCCATTTTAAATGATTATCAGCCTAACTTTAATTAATTAATTAATAACGGGACCACACCCACTAACAATATGGCAGACGTGACGACAGAGTACACTGAGGTTAGGCAGTGAAGATACTGTTAGTTTCCTATCCTGAAGTACGTTATTCAGACCCACTAGTACCTCAACTAGAACCGCCCACTCTCTCTCCTATAAACCATGCCCAATAATAAACCACACCTACCAATAAGGACTCACTTTGGCGAGGCAGCTGAGAATGGCTGAGAATATCTTGCCACAGTTTAGTAATACTTCATTACCAGTTGATGAGGAGAACTCTTGTTCTCCATCCTCTCTTGTCACAGCAGATCTAGATCTACATGTAGTAAGAAAAATATAATGAAGCATAAGCTTCAAACCAGAGTTTCTTACAAAGCATATGCTAAGTGAAGCACAATAATTATAAAGAAAATTGGCACTTGGAGCAACTTTAAAAATTTGTAATAAATCCAAACTTGATCAGAATCAGTTCAAACTTTCTACGCAACATAAAAAACATGTATATGCATCAGAAAAAAATATAAAAATGAGGAATTCTCTCCTTGACATTTTTGGAAAAATTTGGCCTGAGACCCTGTACTATAGTACAGGGACTTTGGCCAAATTTCACCAAAAATGGCAAGGAGAGAATTCTTCATTTTTATATATTTTTTTGATGCATATACATGTTGTTATGTTGCGTAGAAACTTTGAGCTCATTCCGATCAAGTTTGGATTTTTTATGAATTTTTAAAGTTGCTCCAAAATTGGGCCAATCAATACTCAAGTACTATAGTAAAGGAGAAAGTGTTTTGGAATCTACTAAGCACTATGCCAAATCCTCTGAGTTAAAATTAAGGACACCTTCAAAATAATGAGTAAATTTGTAAACCAATATTTGAATTATACAATATTATAAAATCTGTGATACCATTGGTGTCAGTTACAACCTGATCATAAGACTTACTTTTCACACGCATAAAAAGGACTGTAGACCATATCTTGACCCTCGTCATTGAGATATCCAATCCATCCTTCTTCGCTTGCCCTCAAACTCAGCAAACAATTAAATATCTACATTTTTGAATAAAGAGGAGTTGCCAAGGTGCCATGGCCACACTCCCAGCTAAGAATAGATACCTTTATCCTCATGACGCAGGTGGCAGGTACAAAACACTCCTCCTCTATCTGCTGCTGGAGGTAATTCACTAACAAATGGAATATTTGTGCAGCAACGTCTGATGTACAATTTAGCTTGGTCTAAAAATTATCAAAATAAATATATACATGTGTACAGTGAGTTTTTGATGACATGGACTTACCTTAAAAAGAGGCGTTAGCCCAAACACAGCTGCTTTAGAACCAGGTAGCATGTGCTCCTCCCCCTTCATAAAATTAATAATAAAATAAATAAATAATAAAATTATACTAACTCTTTTGGCAACCAGTTGCAATCCTTTCTGAAAAACCTAAAAGAATTGCTAATCATACCGGCATAATCACACGACTTACTGTATTAATTATACCAATGATGGGCGGAGCCCACTGAGGGGTGGAGTCTGATAAAATTGACACTAATAGCTGAACTGCACGACAGCAGACATCTTCATCATTGCTATCAGCTACTGGTAATAACAATGGTAATACCACACCTTCTAACAGCTCTGCCTATGAATGACACAATTATTACATCATAATTGTAATGTATTATAACTGAAATGTAATTGGAATCATTTTGACGAAACACCCTGTACTGTAGTACATAGTTTTTGTACTAATTCTTGAGCATTATAAATCATATTACCTCGTAGCATAGAAGATATGATGAGGTAATAACTTGTAATTCTTCCAGTGCTTCTAGTCGAATAGCTGTTACTGTTTCCGTTGTATAAAATCTGTTCATAATAGTATTTAGCGAGTCTATCCAATCAGCCCCGCCCACATCAAGGGAATTAACCTGGTGACTGAGTAGCTTAATAACTAGTGATAACTAGAAACACAAATAATAATAATAATAATAATAATAATAATAATAATAATAAAAGCCGCACTCCTAACCTGATGTAAGGGAACTGCTTTATTAACGACAGCATAAAATTTATCAGAGTCCATCGCTGGATTGTGGGGATGATCAGAATGAGAATTCGAAACAAATGAAAAAATATCATAAACGACCTACAATAAAAAGAAACAAAAATATTACTGAGTACATATACTCGTATATAAAACAGGTTTTATATTAACCTGTACTAGTACATTGTTCTCTCCGTCTGCTCTAGTGTGATCCAGCTGGACCAAGTGTGCCTGAATATGATCCAACATGTAATAAACACAGTCCCACTCTGTACTGTGGAATAATGATGAATAAGTACGAACTAATCTTAATAAAGAGAGGGCTATTTCGTATATAACTATTGTATGAGGACATCTTGAAGCCTTATGAAAAAAAGATAGAGAGAGAGAGAGAGAGAGAGAGAGAGAGAGAGAGAGAGAGAGAGAGAGAGAGAGAGAGAGAGAGAGAGAGAGAGAGAGAGAGAGAGAGAGAGAATAAAATTAGGAGGCAGTTGTATGTGACTTGTGTCCTCTTACTTCTTTCATCGAGGGTAGCACGGAACCAAAAGACACTTTGAGTGTTTCTACTTTTCTTGATCCCCACAGACTCATGCTGATATAAAATACAGCACCTCTCAATATTAGTGGATAACTCCAATTAGTTCTAATGATAACATCAATCAATAATAATGATGCAAGCATCACTCATTCACTTGCCTGTCTTGTAAAATGGAACAGAGACAAAAAATTGCCGCGTGCCCCAAATGTGTTCCTAGTAATCTTAAAATTATCTGATAAAGAGAGAGAGAGAATTGATAAATTTAACATAATTATCATAAACCTCTAAGCTTTGCTTCCGTAGTGATGTGACATTGAGTGTATTACATAATGTAATCACGACATCTTTTAGCGAAGAAGAAGGCAGAGAACTGTAACATATCACAGAATTAATTACCTCAAGGCTTAACTGTTGATTAATAACAGACCACACCTACAAATAGACTCCGCCTACCTCATTTACAGGGAGGCTCTTTGAGCTTGTTATAAGCTGACAGCATTCACTGAGAAAGAGGGGGAGAGAGAGAGAGGGGGGAGAGAGAGAGAGGGGGGGAGAGAGAGAGAGAGGGGGGGAGAGGTGAGTGTGTATAGGTCTGTCATAGACTTACTTGATCATTTTCACTAGGTCCTCCTCTTCAACGTAAGTCGAATTACATTTTATCAAATTTACCAAAAAAGTTAAACACTCGATTGACCTAAACCAAGAAAAACAAAGAAGAGAGGAACTAAACTCTTTGCGCGTATACAGTAAAATTAAAACATAGAGGCAATATCAATTAATGAGTTATAGCAAGAGTACATAATTTACAGAGAGTGTCTAACTGCACTATAGTAGCTGAAACATGACCGCGTAGAACTAAGTCACGTGAGACCAGATGCGTGGGTGTACTTACTAAAAACACGTATAGAAGTTAACATAAAAAACAGTGGAGAAAACTTGAAGAAGCTTTAGACATCATATTAGTACACTTTATAATCCTGCTGAAGTCTGATATGCAGTACTGCTATAGCAGAGGCACCAAAACGCTAGTAAACCTTGTTGAGCAAACTTGGCAGCCATTTTTTCCTACTCAGCCACACCCAGTATGCAGGAATGCCCAAAGATGTACAAGAAAAGGCTACGCGGTGATGTTTCAGCTATTATAGTATGGTTAGACACTCTCTGTAGATTATGTACTCTTGGTTATAAAAATACAAATCTTACATGCATATAATGGCTAATGCTTTATTTTTGATTAATTTTAACATTCAAAAATGTGACTGACACACACCATTCAGTTAGTACCTGTTGTGTCTTACAGCAGTTGAGAGTGAAGCAGACATAAATAGACCTTAATTAATAACAATAAATAAATAAATAATTAATTAATTAAATATTTACCTATCTCTTGCTCAATATATTCAATGTTCTTTCCGCTGTCGGTTAAAGTACGGATCACATCAAAACTAATAAATATATAATTATTGTACATAAACCTCTCCTTCTCCTCCTCACCATAACTCAAAGTCTTCCTCCACATTATGGAGCTGGATCACTCTAAAGAAATGAGCTCTTAAAATACCTAGTTCCTCGCATTGTCCAGCAACCAGACACTGTAGAAAACCCAATACAGTGTGTCGCACTTCCAGTTGGTTTTCGGCCTCTAAGAGATCCTTTACTAATAGCCAGGCAGCCTGGACCCCATACTATTAAAAAATTGTGAAATGGGTTTGATTGGTAGGCGTGGTTTACGTGTTCTAGTCTTTTAGTGGCAACAATTTCGCTGAAGTCTTTTATTGCTCTAATTCGTATAAGGAGAGGAGTTTCAGGCCCTAGCTCCTATAAATAAAAATAGCAATAAAGCAATTGAATGGTTTCCCCACCCTCAGTATGTCTTCAGTGAGAAAGGAGACTTGTTCTGGTTTACTAGTTTCCTCAATCCTTGATGAGGTCCCACGGCCTCCAAGATTCTGCAACAAGGAGCCAATCCTTTGCCTGAGGCTACTACCTTGGCCCTGTCCTTCTTGCATACTCTAAACGAGAGAGAAAGGAATAAAAAGAAACACTACACACACCTCACCTCAGCTAGCTAGCTAGCTCGAGTTTAAGTCACGTGAGAGCATGTGAGACTATCACGTGAGCTAAAATGACGTCATCGCATTAGATGTTTGGGCGTGGTCATAATCACGTGATAACTGTACACGTGCTGCATAATCACTGTACATGTATTTTCTATTGTAAACAAAAACACAGTCAGTGCATGTCATACTCACGCATCCGGTCTGTATGGGGAAAGTCTAGTACTACCTGACCTCCTGCAGTACTGCCATCTCTCTCTACTTGTATAAAGTAAACTCGATCCTTTTCTCACCTTTAGAGTAGCACATGCTCTTTTAGTACCTCGTTATAGGCTCTGATAGAAGCACAGGAAGGAGTCTGAAGGCAATATGGCTGATGTAAAGGCTTATGCAAGGCTGGAATGGAGAGAGTTTGAATATCTAATGACCAAGAGAAGGATAGCAATTGGGAGGGACAGCAAAATAGGCCATGTTGATGTGAATATGGGCACGACTAGATTCATCTCTCGTAAACACCTTGAGATATCGCTCGATGGCTCAAGGTTTTATCTTCTCTGTCGCGGGAAGAACGGGATCTTTGTCAATGATGTCTTTCAGAGACGAGAGGCAAAGAGACTAATGTTACCTTCACCGTAGGTTTTACTAATTATAAGTGGGTGTGGCTTTGGTTTTATTGTATTTTCGGATCAATAATATTACAGCGATGATATGTGATGCAATGTTTAACCACGCCTTCTCGTGAATGAATTTTAAAAGTAATAATGATTATTTTGCTCTATTTCTTTCCTCTAGGTGTATTATTCGTTTTCCTTCCACAACAATCAAATTAGTATTCTCATCTCTTCTAGAAGAGAATGGCTACCATGGTGATGTTAGGCCCTCCAGTCCCCTCCCACCTTCGTCAGCTTTCCAGTCTCCCTACGTGACCCCGTTACCCTCTCCCACTGGCACGATAAGGTGGGTGTGGTTTAGGTTGGGCTTTAATAAGAAAATGAAGGGACTTTCCCTTCAAGGGTAATTCCCTTTGTTATAATAATTATTGTGATGTACTGATCCTTATCAATTTCCCTCTTTTTTGTAATGCTTCTCTCTCTCTCTCTCTCTCTCTCTCTCTCTCTCTCTCTCTCTCTCTCTCTCTCTCTCTCTCTCTCTCTCTCTCTCTCTCTCTCCCCCCCCCTCTCTATCTCTCTCTATCTATCTTTTCT